ACCCACCCAACCGCTCTCTGGTGCGTGCTATGCTTTCTTCTCATGTGATTCAATTGAGTGGTGTGTAAAAATGGCAGGTATCTTAGATGGCTGTCTTGTTTAGAAAAATTTGACTTTTTTTACAATTAGTGCACTGAAAATGTCACAGACACATAACATTAATAACATGATAAAACAGCTGTTAGAACTGTCTTGAAGACGTCGGTTCAGAAGGCATTGGATTATTGTCGACAGTATGCTTTGGCACAATCGTCTCAATTCATTTGTTTCACCATAATTAGATGCAAATCAGACAATTACCCATCATCAGGGTCAACACAACAACAAACAAACTAACATTGCAACCAAAAAAGTTACTCTGTAAATCCGGACCTAAATTCTCTGGATTCTTTTGGGACGAAACACGGCCAGCAAAGACCATCTTTAATCTTAGTCTTCTTTCTCTTGGACCAGGATATTAACAGTTTCAGATGCTATGCACCGACAGTCTACCAAGACTCTAGTAGTCCTATGTGTCTCGCACTGCCCAGAACGGTGCGAATAACAATGAAATATTGAGTTCATTTATTAATAAGTGGAGATGAACGCCCCTTTGAAGCGGCTTCCACATGCATATTCAGTTGATGGAAACCTTTGGATGGGTAATTTCTCTTAGCTGCTTCATTAAATAGTAAAAGTCGAAAGTGTAATGCTTCATGACAAAAAGAGAAGAAAATAAAAAAATGAAAGGAGGTGTCGGATGCGAGATATAAATAACACGATAACTAATCAACAATGCGGTTGTTGATTGGCGCATGACCCGTCAAGATCCAAACCTCTTTTATCATTCACAAAGAAACACAGAAATAGGGTTGAGAGACTAACAAACAAACACAACTGTAGGAAAAGTTACCCGTGGTTATGGTTTAATTAACATTGGAGAACTCGGGGCATCTTGCCGCACCTTTCTAACGGGTGGTAGATTAGCTACCTGTGAACACAACGTAGCACGTATTGTTTACTTTCCCTATGATTAAAATAATATGGGGAAAGTGGGTGAGATTAAAGTCACAGCGGGGAGTCGCACTAACAAGACCCAATCAGCGGCAGCCCTCCAGACATCTCCAAAAGAGATGCCAAAGGAGAGAGGCTGCGGGGGGGTAGGAGACCAGTTCAGAGCTCTCTAGTCGCAGGAGGACCTTTTGAAGTCAGCTAATTCCATGCGCTTTCTGAGCCACAGAGATTGGGTGGTTCGTGCATTGCATGTTACATCTGCAACAAAGATGGTGGAAAAAGTGATAAGAAAGCACCTTGTTAGGTGCCTCAAATGTCTTGTTTTACTCCCATTACAGGTTGTCAATAAGTTATTTGGAATGACATTACATGGCATCTTATGAATAATGTGGGGCTTTAAAAAAATAGATGAGAACACAGAAATTGAAAGGAAATGTGTGAACAAGCAGGTGGGAACATTCATCGTTTCAATCACTACCCTTGCATCCATTTATCTTCCACACGTTTTTTTCCATCCAATCAATCAAATGTAAATGTATTTTATAAAGCCCTTTTTACATCGCAGTTGTCACAAAGTACATAGTTGGAGATTATATTTTCTTAGATAATGTTATATAAGCCAAAGAGGGTGGGTCTGGGAGAGCTCACCAAGAGGTACTTAAGAGAGGCGAAAGATCCACGTCTCAGATCCACGTCAACTCAAGAGTTGTATGGAATATCCGTCTTGAACATGACTGAAATATGAATTGATTGAGTCTGAACACAAAATATTTCCTTTGTACCATTTACCCTTCCTATAATGCTCTAGCCATTTCACGAAAGTCCTTGGATAATCAACCACTATCATCTGCCTCTTTCTTGTGTACCTTTGGTAATACCTATTGAAAAGTATAGTGATACTGTAGCAAAACACTGTACATATTAGATGACAATACAGGCAACTATGGTAAACATATTTTCTATGCTTTTTGAGAGCATTAAAGATAAAAAAGTACTCCTCAAATTAGACCAACAGTAGCAAAGACTTAAGCATTCAAAACTGCTCCAAGAACAACCCTGAGACCATGGCTGATGTGCAGAAAATATAATACCACAAAGACATTAACAAATACTGTATTCTGTATTTATTTTCTTAGTCAACCTTGTGTTCTTGAACGTAGCCCTGTTTCTTTGTGTTCTTGAACGTAGCTCTGTCTTTCATTTTTGTTCATTAATTTCACCTGTGTTAGTTACTCACCTGGTCTCATTAGCTCCTTATTTAGTTCAGTTCATTCTGTTTGTGCCTTGTGAGATATTGTTCGTTTTGACTCTACTAAGCCTTTTCCTAGCTCGTTTATGAGAACCAGTTATAGTCTTCAGTCCTAGTTTTGATTCTCCTGCCTGTTTGCCTACCTGTGTATGACCATTGCCTGCCTGTGACCACGATTCCTGCCTTTTGCGAAGGCGAAATAAACACCTGCCGCGCTCTGCGTGTGAATCTACACCTTTTTCTCCCTGAGTATCTCCTGAGTGGCGCAGTGGTCTAAGGCACTGCATCGCAGTGCTAACTGTGCCACTAGAGATCCTGGTTCGAATCCAGGCTCTGTCGCAGCCGGCCGCGACCGGGAGACTCATGGGCGGCGCACAATTGGCCCAGCGTCGTCCAGGGTAGGGGAGGGAATGGCCGGCAGGGATGTAGCTCAGTTGATAGAGCATGGCGTTTGCAATGCCAGGGTTGTGGGTTCGATTCCCACGGGGGGCCAGTATAAAAAAAATATATATATATATGTATTCACTAACTGTAAGTCGCTCTGGATAAGAGCGTCTGCTAAATGACTAAAATGTAAATGTAATGTAAATGTATTAATTACAATAATTAATAGACAATAACTTAACTTCAAAGTAAACCAGTTGGAGGCAAACCATTGTACTTTCTTTAAAATCAGTGATGAATGCTGGATAAATGCCAAGTTCACTGTAAGCAATATTACACACTGAATGTGCCTAACATTCTACGCAAAAAAACTGTTTTTATATAGCTGTATAGAGTGCTTTTCAATTCAGTACATATCCTTTCTAAATCAAAATAAAAGAGTGATTTATCACTTAAAGTGGAAATGCCAGCGTTTAGCAACATTAAATCAGATTTGAAAATATCTAAGCGAGCACTTAAATATTTTCACGATTTCATACTTTCATAGAATGTTTGGGAATTATGTAAGTAAGGCATTTGTGAAAATTCTATAGCAACATAGAGTGGGAATATGGCCATGCGCTTGGACAATTAAGACACTGCAGGAAATAAAACCTGATAAAAACATGTCAGTCTTGTCCAGGACTCTACACAGACCAGTGCGCCACAGCCAAATCATAGCTACAGTAGGCCTATATGCAAATAAGCAATTTGCCACACGGGCCTGCCATCATTCATTTTGAACTGGACTGTGTGTTTACAGGCAGTAGCAACAGCGCGAGTTTAGACCATTAGAAAGCATTTGCCAAAAGCCACGAAATACATCTGAATGGTTTTCTGGAAATATGTAAATACCATGGGAGTCCTCTTACATTTGGGAACTTTACAGTCATATTGATCAAACAACTATGAACAGGTAGGCTCTCTCTCCCTCCCTAATATCAACAACTAATGTTAGACAGAGCGAGATGAGCTAAAATCTAATGAGGCAAGAGAAGATAAACCCTCTCAAACGTTTTCAGCTTGTAGTTGACCGTCAAAACTACACTGTTAATAGATTGGGAATTGTAGCCTGCTCGCCCTTCTGCAGCTTGCCTGCCAATGCATGCTTGTCCCAACCCACGTTTTGACAACTGAATGGGAACTGCCTGCATGCCCTTTTGATCATATCAAACACATTTGATTGACAACTAAGAGATATGCATTCTAACTGTGGATAACAGTCGTTCAAGTTCAGCATAGTTAGTTAGCTAGCAAAGCGATTCACATTTCTTGCTAGCTAACTAAATGACACCGGCATCTCTAGTTGTAGCCACTGAAAAACGATATGAGGGGAAAAAGTCAGTCACTCACCCACTTGTCCAATGATGAGATCCTCCCAGCAGCTAGCTAGCTTGTTTGGCTCCATGTTTTTAGCTTGTTAAATAAATTGCTACATAAATAGATACACTAGTCTATTAGCCACGTTATGACTAACTTGTGATCATTGTCCTTGCTAGTTTGATTGTATTGACATTCCCAACCTTAGTTACATTTGTCGGTTTAGTCCAAAATATTGAGTAATTGAAACTGAAACAGTGCATCCTAATAAGTGGAGGCAGCAAACAATGTACCAGGCCAGGTGTGATTTACAACCTGATCGCAATATTTTTGGACTACCAAGAAATCTATTGGTGAATTATATTTATCATACATTGAACTGTATCCATCTATTCTTCAAACAATACCTTACTGTACATCATGGCATTTACCGTCAAATAGAACATATTTTTAAAACCTCTTATAAAGTTGGTTTTGTAGCATAAACTGGGAATTTGATATTGTTGACTGATATGATTGTCTGTTTGTTTCATATCTTCAAAGTAGTTAAAACACTGTCAGTTCCACTTTAAATCAATATATTTGTTTCCCCCTTTTTTTGATGCACAGAAGATCTCCCTTCAAAAGAATACCAGTCTCAAGTTTAGGGTTTCGAGCAAGATCATTGCACTTCAAACCATTGAACCCACTTAATCAGCTATTGTGTGTTCTCATTCAACCACTGTGGAATTTCTTAGCAAAATCTCTGACCGACTCTTTACAAAGCTATCTTTGATTACACGCTAGCCCATGGGGAAACTTTATAAAACTCCCCTGCGGAGAAGGCTAGGTGACTACCAACCACTCAATTGGAAGACCAAATTCTTATCCACAAGAGGCCATGAAACATGCCTTTCATCCTCAAACAAAGCTGCACATGCCCTTTCTTGCCCCTCCAAATACCACTTGCACCAATCAGAACCCACCATTCATCGCTACCACAAATGAAAGTGATTTCCTGAGCACCAATGAAAGACTATAACACACTGCTGACTAGGATGAACATTTGTTGTGATATTTTTTTAAAAACTTCATACTTAAACAAAACCTCCACAAAACAGGAATTAGGGGGCTCACAATTAACAAATAAAGGTGTGGCAGACTCACCGATTTCGTTGTCCGACTTATTGTCAATTTCCGTGTCTGTGAGGGTAAGGGCTGAGTTGGAGCGACTAGACAGGCACGAGCTTTGGCCTGACTTGGCACCCCTGCCCCAGAGAGCCATGGTGCGTTCTGTGGATGCGGCCTCATGATTCTCTGTGGGGACCGTTCTTCTGGAGTAGCGACCAAGGGGGTGCGAGAGGCCCGTTTCAGGGCAGAGGGCCAGGCCTCTGCGTGTGGAGGGCTCACATATCCCAAGTTGCCTCAGCGAGAAGGCCTGTCCTGTAAAACCAAATACGTTTTTAAATAGCAGCCTGATCATTTAACAATGTTTCAAACCCCAATCCTAAACCCAGAATATCTGCCATTGTGTCACGGTGTGTAGCTTTTAACATTTGTGTGACTCTTAAAAATTACTGTTCTTAGAAGGGCAATAGGCCTAACTCAAATAGAGTCCTCACAAAAACAAAAAACAACCAGTAAAATCAGAAGACACTTCACACCAATGGACATATTGTGCATTCAATGAAAATGGAACTGACAGCATTTGAACTACTTTTCAGATATGAAACAAACAGACAATCATCATTTCAGTAAAAAATAACAAATTCCCAGTTTATGCTACTATTTAACTCAACATTCCATGACATACACTAAGGCATTGTTGGCAGAATAGATGGATGCAGTTCACTGCATGATTAATATAATTCACCAATACATTCCTAGGTAGTCCAAATAATATTGCTTTCAGGTTGTAAATCACAGCTGACATGATATATCGTTTGCTGCCTCTATTCGAGATGCACGTTTCAGTTTCAATTAATCAATATTTTGGACAAAATTGACGAACGTAACTAAGGCTGGGAAATGTCAATACATTCAAACTAGCAAGGGCAATGATCACAAGTCAGTCATAACGTGGCTAATAGGGTAGCGTATCTATTTATTTAGCAAGCTAAAAACACAGAGCCTTACATTAGCTAGATAGCTAGCTGCTAGGAGGATGTCATGTAATGTAATGTCATTGGAGGAGTTGGTGAGTGACTGACTTTTTCCCATCATATTGTTTTTCGGTGGCTATACACAGCTAGAGATGCAGGTGTCATTTGGTTAGCTAGCAAGAACTTGAACGTGCAACAGCCGCTAGATATGACCGGTGTCAGTAAACATAGGCAAAAAAAGTAATAGTTAGTCACGAACACTGTAGATAACATGTAAACAGCCTAACCAGCTATGCTACGGTGAGTAAAATGGTCAGAGTGAGGTATTCTCTCATTTGTGTCTGGAAGTAGCTAGCTAGCAAGCTAGCCAACTTTAGCCAGTTAGCTTGGGTGTTTGGTTGGGACAAGAATGAATGCACTGGCAGGCAAGCTGCAGAAGGTCAAGTAGGCTACAATTCCCCATCATTTATCAGTGCAATTTTGACAGGCAACTAGCTGAAAAGGTTTGAGAGGGTTTATCTAATGTTCCTTCGTTAGATTTTAGTTCATCTTGCTCTGGCTAGCATTAGTTGTTGATCTTCATGTTGACGTGCATAACTGAGGGAGAGCGAGCCTACCTTTTCATGGTTGTATGATCAATAGGACTGTAAAGTTCCCAAATGTAAGAGGACTCCCGTGGTATTTATATATTTGCAGAAATCCATTCAGGTGTATTTTGTGGCTTTGGCGAATGTGTTCTAATGATCTAAAGTCGTGCTGTTGCAACTGCCTGTAAACAAAAAGTGAATGATGGCAGGCCTGTGTGGCAAATGGCTTGTTTGCATAAAGGCCTACTAATACAATTTCATGTTGCTAAAATGCTGTCAGTTCCACTTTAAGATAGAATTAGAAAGGAATTTTGTTGCTTTGAAGATTATCGGGACTGACCTTACACTTGAACCTAAAAAAACAGTCTAAAAACAACATTCCTTTAGAGTACTCAAGGAAAAGAGGATCCCACTCATTGTATACAAATTGTAAATTGGAACAGTTCCACGGTTCTGTGTCTTCTTAATAGTTTGTAAATCTGGATTTAAAGTGGGGATTTAATATAGAAACAAAAGGTGAAAAACAGATGCAAGGAAATTTACACTGTCAATGCTGGATTGAGTAAATACAAATTATTTACACCAAAAATCTATAATCAATGTTCAAAGTACTTTTCACTAAAGTAACATTTCTAAATGTGTGGACAGAACTTAATTATACCAAGTAATAGAAATGATTGTACAGTCTAAATTATTTTCTAAAATGTATTTTTTGGAATATATACAGTCAAAGTATTCCATTAATATTTGTATTATTTTTTATTATTCTAGGGGTACGTTTGAGAATGTAATGTCATGCTGCATAAGATTACACACATGTATTTTACCCATATAAAATTTAGAAATACCATTGCAGACAATGATTAATATAAGTACAATGGCAATTAATAAAATCATTTTTAAAAACTTTTCTTGCGTTTACATTTAGTGTACTGGTTATTCCACAGTGAAAATAAAAACAAGTGAAATTGACAAAGAACATTGTAAGGTAAAAACTGCAGCAGAGCAATAAGATACATTGACAATATTCTATGTGATGTAACACACTTCATAAGATAAGTAAAATGTATAGTTTTAGGTTTTTATTAAGGTCCAAGTTCTAAACAGATAAATACTTTGAAATGCAAAACATTTCACATAATTTCTAATTAAACTGAATCATTCAGTATTTGGAGTTGTGATTTACATTTGAACAAGGACATGTTGTTCAAATACAAAGTACTAATTTCGCCATCATGCTCCAACTGAATTATCATTGAGGTGATAAATCCAAATCGTTCATTACCTTTTCATTAAAAGTCCTAATTTGATCTAGAAGTAAAGGGAAAACTAACATACGTCCCACAGCCTAATTAGAACGCCATTAACTTCCAGCTGGCGCCAATTAGCAGAAATCTATGAGAAATATGCCAGGAATTATGTGTTGTTCATATTAGATTATGACATTTTTTTCTTATTATGAACATTTCCTGCCAATTGCCAACAACCAATTAAAAAGGTGAGTTATTTGTTCAGCAGTTCAATAGGTAATTACCATTGGTATGTGAAGTGGAGCTGGATAATTTCGTTTGGATGTGTACATAGTTCAGGCACAGATCGAAAAGATCTCTACTTTTCATCATGGATTAATAAAAACCTAAAGTGACAAGCTATGAATGCTGGTAAATTGATCATGCAAGAAGATAAAGACCACCATCAGTTTTCAAGGAAACCCATGGGATGCCCTACCTAAGACAAAACATCAGACTTACTAATACAGTATAAAAAATATTTTCTATGTCAATGAGTTCAATTGTAGACGATTCATTTCAATTCTTGCGACATTTTATTTTTTTACCAAACTCCATGTGCTCCCAAGTTATGTTTAAAAAATACACGTATGAAATCAATCAAATCAAAACTAATCTAAACAAATTATATCTATACAATTTGTCTATTATTAAGCATCCTTTCATATAATTGGAATAGAGTTGTGACTGTACTGACCTGGCCTGCTATAGTCATTCGTCTCCTGGTGGACCATCTCCTTGACTCGGCCTGAGAATAGCAGCCGGGCGGGGTCATGGTCGTAGGCCTGCAGTGTCTCGCTAGAGCTGTAGGACTTCTGGGTAGGCACCCGGCAGGCCCCTTCTCTGTCTGTCGATGATGCGGTGTAATGCGGTTCCAGATCCCTCTCCCTTTCGCGGTCTCTCTCCCGGTCTCTCTGGCTCTTGGAGAGCGAGCAGAAGGGCCGCTGCTCCTTCACCCGTTCCATGCTGCCTGCATACTGTGTCCTCCCCGGTTCTCTCCTGAGACAATCGCTTTGGGATATTCCGCTCCACTTCCACCTCTGTCTATCCGTCTGTATTTCTGTCTACCTGGACAGAGAGGGGGGGGGGGGAGATGAGAAGCTCAGATAACACTAATCCGCCCACTTAATCTTCAAAAGCCCACACTCACACCCACCACAGCACCATCTCTCAAACCCCACCCGTAAGCCATTCCATGCATGAATTCCCCTCCATAAAGCAGATCTCCTCTCACTGACTCACTCTCCCACTTTCTTTTATATGAGGTAGACGTTAATTTAGACACTAATTAGCCACTACCGTTAAGTGTAGAGCGTGCAAAGGGTGGATTTTCACTGGTGAGGATTTCGGTAAAATGGGGACAGACGTGGGAAGAAAGAATAAAACGAATCTGTGAAAACCCCAAGCAGAGAGTGAGTGGTGAGAATCCCTGGTATGCTGCTCAGGTGTTTAATACCAACTGCTCCCACTCGTTCCCGAAATACCACACTTTCATTTCTGTCTTGGCTCGGCTGGAAGCCCAAAGACAGGTGTATCAGACACCCTCACCTTTCCTCTACTGAAACTGAAACTTTGTTTTACATCAATCATCAAAATGTTTTAATGATGCCTTGTGCATGTTATGATATGGGAGACTACCTGGAGATCCTTTCCTGGGAGACTTCCAGAAGCACTAGAGGTAGAGGATGGATCCAAGGGTTATGAATAATAATAATAATAATCATAATAATATTTGTATAGCGCTTTCAATATGAGTAACAAATTGCTTCACATCATGAAATAATATAATACAATTAAAATACTAACAAAGAAACAAAGACATGAAGAAGGAGAATGAAAAAAGATAGCCAATAAAAATCATATACTGAACTCATACATTAAAAGAATCTTTATAAAAGTGTGTCTTCAGCAGGGATTTAAAAAGAGGCACTGAATCTGCACGCCTGATCTCCTCTGCCAGACCATTCCAAAGTCTAGGGGCCCTAATGCCCGGTTTCATTTAGTTTTCAAACTAGACTTTGTAATGGTCAATAGTGCCCTGCCAGAGGATCTCAGGCTGCATCCTGGCTCATAGGGGGATAAAAGATCAGAGATACAGGATGGGGCTGAACCAAGCATGAAACGTGATTAATACAATTGTTTCATGTATACTCATAAAGTGACTGGTAGCCAGTGTAGAGAAGCTAAAATGGGGTATGATATAGTTACATTTTCTGGTGCCTGCTAAAAGCCGTGCTGCAGCATTTTGAACTAACTGTAGACGATGAAGTGATTTCTGACTGAGACATGTTTACAATGACTTACAGTAATCTAGGGGTGAATATATAAAAGCATGTATAACATTCTCCAGATAAGTGACCAAGATAAAAAGACTTGACTTTAGCTATATTCCTTAGATGATAAAAACAGGACAACCTTCTTTACATGCAGCTCAAGGTTTAGGTCAGGGTCAAAGAAGATACCAAGGTTTCTGGCTGTAGGCTTTAAATTGATGGACAAATGACCAAGGCTATTTACAATCAGGGTTCTAGCAAGGTGGGGTTGGAAAGGAGCCAGAAGTCAGGGAGCTATTTACAATAGACAGAATGTTGGTGACAACAGTAGGCATAACCTCTTTTAGTAGTCTAGTAGGGTTCATGTCCAAGGGGCAGCAGGAGGTCTTCATGTGATCTACAGTATCAAGGAGGGACTCAAAGGATATTTGCTCAAATGAGCAAAGGGAAGCAGTAGACAGTAGATTCTTCTATAAAGAATCACAAAAACTGTTCACAGATCATTTCTCATCAGATCCTTCATTATACTTGAAGTTTGCAACTTTCTAAGTACACTTTAAGGCACAAGTATAGTCATTTAACAAGGTGATACTGGCAAACAGTGTATTCTTGGTTTTAACTGGTGCCACACAGTCTAAAGTAGCCTGACATGTCATTGAAACTGTTCAGCAAATCATCGATGATGACACAGAACAGGATCAGTAGTATAGGATGAAAAAGCAAATAAATAAATAAATAAATAAAGCAGGTAAATGTATTAGCAGTTGTGGAGAAGAATGTTGTGAGAGCGAGTGGGGACATACACATTTTTAGGAGGAGAAGAAAGCATTTTCAAAACAATGCTGAGATGGTCAGACACACACATCAATAGCTTCCAAGTTATCAATATTTAGATCATCATGAGATCAAGAGTATGGTCTTTGTTGTGTGAAGGCCCTGTGGCATATGGCAAAGTTAAAGGATTCTAACAGGTTAAGAAACTCCCCAGCTAGTGCATTACTTGGGCAACACACATGAATGTTTAGATCTCGAAGTATAACAACCCTGTCATATTTAGGCGTAACCAAATATAGCAGGTGAGAGAATTCTGCAGTGAACAAACTTTTAGGTTTAGGAGGGCAGAACACTAAAATACACAAGGTGGGAAAATTATAACCTACATGACCAAAATTATGTGGACACCTGCTCATCGAACATCTCATTCCAAAATCATGGGCATTAATATGGAGTTGGTCCCCCCTTTGCTGCTATAACAGCCTCCACTATTCTGGGAAGGCTTTTCACTAGATGTTGGAACATTGCTGTGGGGACATTGCTGTTGGGAGTTTAGGCCTGGCTCGCAGTCGGTGTTCCAATTCATCCCAAAAGGTATTCAATGGGGTTGAGATCAGGGCTCTGCGCAGGCCAATCAAGTTCTTCCACACCGATCTCGACAAACCATTTCTGTATGGACCTCGCTTTGTGCACAGGGGCAGTGTTATGCTGAAACAGGAAAGGGCCTTCCCCAAACTGTTGCCACAAAGTTAGAAGCACATAATCGTCTAGAATGTCAATATATGCTGTAGCGTTAACATTTCCCTTCACTGGAACGAAGGGGCCTAGCCCGAACCATGAAAACAGCAAAACACCATTATTTCTCCTCCACCAAACTTTACAGTTGGCACTACGCATTGGGGCAGTTCTCCTAGCATCCGCCAAACCCAGATTAGTCCGTCGGACTGCCAGATGGTGAAGCATGATTCATCACTCCAGAGAACGCGTCTCCACTGTTCCAGAGTCCAATGGCGGCGAGCTTTACACCACCCCAGCCGACGCTTGGCATTACGCATGGTGATCTTAGGCTTGTGTGCGGCTACTCGGCCGTGGAAACCTATTTCATGAAGCTCCCGACGAACAGTTATTGTGCTGACGTTGCTTCCAGAAGCCGTTTGGAACTTGGTAGTGAGTGTTGCAACCGAGGACAGACGATTTTTACGCGCTACCAGCTTCAATACTTGGCGGTCCCGTTCTGTGAGCTTGTGTCGCCTACCACTTCGCGGCTGATCCGTTGTTGCTCCTAGACGTTTCCACTTCACAATAACAGCACTTACAGCTGACCGGGGCAGCTGTAGCAGGGCAGACATTTGACGAACTGACTTGTTGGAAAGGTGGCATCCTAGGATGGTGCCACGTTGAAAGTCACTGAGCTCTTCAGTAAGGCCATTCTACCGCCAATGTTTGTCTATGGAGATTGCATGGCTGTGTGCTTGATTTTATACACGCGTCAGCAACGAGTGTGGCTGAAATTGCCGAATCCACTAATTTGAAGGGGTGTCCACATACTTTTGTATATATAGTGTATAGTGTGCCTTCAGAAAGTATTCCCACCCCTTGATTTTTCAAAAAAAAATTGTTACAACCTGAATACAAAAAACTGATTAAATTGAGATTTTGTGTCACTAGCCTACACACAATACCCCATAATGTCAAAGTGGAATTATGTTTTTAGAAATGTTGACAAATACATTATGAAAAGCTGAAATGTCTTGAGTCAATAAGTATTCAACCCCTTTGTTATGGGCAAGCCTAAATAAGTTCAGGAGTAAAAATGTGCTTAACAAGTCACATAATAAGTTGCATGGACTCACTGTGTTAAATTATACTGTTTAACATGATTTTTGAATGACTACCTCATCTCTATACCCCACACATACAATTATCTGTGAGGTTCCCTTAGTCAAGCAGTGTAATGTCTACTCCTGCTCCTCCCCCCCGGCGTTCGACGTCGCCGGTTTACCAACCACCGTTCCTGGCCTCCCTTCATTACGCACACCTGCGCCTCATCAGGCACACCTGGACTCTATCACCTTCCTGATTACTCCCCATATATAGCATTCTGTTCTCATTTCCCATCAGGCATTATTGACACTGTTCTCCTGATTTTGTTTTGTTAATTGTTCGTGTTTATTAAACTCTCCAACTGCACCTGCTTCCCGCCTCGCAGCGTCTTTGTTACAAGCAGTGAATTTCAAACACGGATTCAACAACAAAGAGGGAGGTTTTCCAATGCCTCGCAAAGGGTGCCTATCGGTAGATGGGTTCAAATAAAGAAAGCAGACATTGAATATCGCTTTGAGCATGGTGAAGTTATTAATGACACTTTGGATGGTGTATCAATACACCCACTCACTACAAACATACAGGTGTCCTTCCTTACTCAGTAGCCAGAGAGGAATGAAAGAGCTCAGGGATTTCACCATGAGGCCAACGGTGACTTTAAAACAGTTGCAGAGTTAAATGTCTGTGATAGGAGAAAACTGAGGATGGATCAACAGCATTGTAGTTACTCCACAATACTAACCTAAATGACAGAGTGAAAAGAAGGAAGCCTGTACAGAATAAAAATATTCCAAAACATGCATCCTGTTTGCAATGAGGCACTAATGTAAAACTGCCAAAAATGTGGCAAAGAAATTAACTTCATGTCCTGAATACAAAAGCACTATGTTTGGGACAAATCCAACACAACACATAGCTGAGTACCACTCTTCATATTTTCAAGCATGGTGGTGGTTGCATCATGTTATGGGTATTCTTGTCTTCGGCAAGGACTAGGGATTTTTTTTAGGATAAAAGAAACAATAGAGCTAAGCACAGGCAAAATCCTAGAGGAAAACCTGGTTCAGTCTGCTTTCCAACAGACACTGGGAGAC